AACACCTTTCCCGGCAATCCTATCGCCTTTTCCACTCGCGTCTCGGTCCCGACGCGCCGCGCGCATCCGCGCGCCTGGTGCTCGATGCAGGTGACCGGGCCTTGAAGCCAGGCCTGGATGGACGTTCACCGATGGCAACGTCCTTCACCGATCCCTGCATTCCGTATAGGGTGTGGCGAGTCGAGATTTGTTGCAGTTTCTTTTTTTACAATTTGCTCAACATGCAGAGTTCAAGAATCATGTGTTGTTCATTGGCAGTCTGAGTCTGCATGTGATCAAAGTTGTGAGGAGTGTGACATGTAAAGAACATACTCAAAAGCAACTGAAGACCACTCCAAAGTATTTGCACTGACCCCCCCCAAAAAGGAATCTGAATTCCTAGGAAAAAAATGTGAGATTTTAAAATAATCATACCAAGGCTAAGACGAAGGGAGGCTTGCACCTTCACTGCCTCGAATGTGGAATACTCAATATCAATATGTCATAATATGTCAAAATGTCGACGCATAAAAACAACAATATATTAGATGATCATTGTAATATACTTTAATCGAATATATCCAATATATACTATGATATATCTTTAAACACAATGAAACACATCTGTTCCCTTCTTGCTACCCGTCCTCCAGTCTGCTCCCTTTTACACCTCCTTTCGCAGTCCGGCCTCTCCCACAGGCCCCACGGTGGGTGTCAACACCGTGGGAGGCCACGCGGGCTCCGGCGGCAGAGGCTCCGCCCAGCCGTGCGCCTCCCGCGCTCGGCGCAGCTCCTCCTCGAGGAGGCGTACCTGGTGTCGCATCGTGGCTACTCGTGGCGCGTCGTGGCTACTCTGGTCGGAGAGTGGAAAAGGGAAATGAACCATTGGACCTTTTTCTTGAATAAAGATACCATCCCATCCTTTTACAAATGCACACAGGGGGTTCCACTTTCATGTTTTTCGGGTCGGCGGGTAATTCCTCATCCAGCGTTGTGTCTGTTGCGATTGAATATGTTTTGAATGTTAGCATCTGCTTCAATGCCGACAGTGCCAGGGTACCAGTGACAAATAGTGACACCAGAAATTTATTTGAACGTTCAAATTCGTTTTGGATTCAGGAGATTTTGACAAGAACAAACATATATAAACCCAAATCCATTGGTTGGTCCCAGTGAGGTTCAGTACGAACCTTCCACAAGATGCCAAGCCGATCCGCCGATCCGTTGGGAGATGTTGAGAGGTCTAGAGGTCTCACACGAGGTCCACTGCACACGAGCCCTTAGGTTCCTCTGCCCAAACCAATTCCACGATCCCGAACAAACACCGCAGACCAACGACGCTGCAGGCCACTTCTGCCACTTCTAGTGTGAGTCAAACCAATCTACACCTCCTACTAGCCCTGACCAGATATCGCATACTTGGAGATATGACTTTCGGTCGTTTCCTTTGGCTTAATAGTTTGGTTTTCCAAGGGAATCTTGGGGAAATGTGAGGGGGTAGTTAGCTGTAGAGTCCGAAACAACTGGACACAGACTGAGGAAGCATCCCTTTCAATCCACTACACTTCCTATCCTTCTGTCTATCGACCTATGAATCCCTATGTGTGCCACTATCCCTTTGAGGCAATCAGCTAACCATCTGCAGCCCCTATGACCCCCCTTGCGGCCTCTGCCGCTTGGCGCCGTTGTGTGTCCCGGAAGGCTTCCTGGGAGCATTTCAGCGGGATCAACTGGGAACTGAAGCATCTACTCTCGAAAAATCCCAAACATTAAGCACAAGAGCACAAATGAGCACAATGTCTCCTAAAGGCGGTATGGGAAGGCAAACTAAACGTATACCTATAAATACGTACTCTAGGACGCAAAAATGCCCGAGTCCCCCTACGATGGACAGTGGCCCACTCCACATATGTCCTATTCAATGATTCGACATGGTTTCCTGCGAATTGACCAAATATAAGAATCAAATCAAAACCCTGTAATTATCACGATGCTCCAACGTGCAAACCGAATGAAGTTCCACGGCGAAAATCTGTATATGGGTACAACATGACCACTGCATGGTCCATGTTTGGGTCTTGCCGGGTCAATGATGGGGCAGGAGTCGGGCCTGACCGGAGGGTTGCCACCAAACAGTTTGAGCTTTGTCTTCTGTTGGACAGGTGCAAATGTCCGTAGAACTTGATACTACAAATTGTGCCTCTATCTACAATTGATCTAAGAACCGCTTATATAGCTTGTTGTATTTTGTTGACACCACAACATTTTGACATAATATTGTAATCAATAGCTGAATGATATCTTGTCTTGTCTGTCTGCATGGGTCTGATCATGGGCTTCTTTGGTGCATGTTAAACACATAGACCCTGCTGATCGTCTTTGACTGGAGGTCTTCAGGGCATTGCCCTAAGAAGCAAGTTCATCGAATATGCTGCCTATCGCAACACGACTATCGTGCCGCACATCAGCATGCGCATTCGACAAAAGATATTGACACACTCACTCACCTTCCCTTGGATACCCAGTGAGTACAAACACTAAGCGCCATGGAAATCGGATCCAGGAAAGGCCAAGGACCACCCCACTACGTCTCAGTCTCATTGGAAGCATGTAGCCTGTGAGCAATCAAAGATCATTATCAAAAGGTCACTTACATGTTCGGCAAGCTTGGGTAACAACATAGTCTAAGCCCAGTGACATCTATGAGTCTATTACATTAAAGAGATGCATGGGCATGGACACCAAATTAGATGCTTTGGGAAGGTGGATCGCGAAACAAACTGGTCTGGCCTGACTCGACAAATTACCGTGCATGCCTCGCAATGTGAACTCGAGTCTAGCAATGGAATGGTAGCAGTCAACTGACTTGATTGATAGAAACGAATGAGAATTATATGCTTCCCTTAGGGACTAGTAGCTTCTGCCATCTGCCACCGAATCAAATCGGCACTCCTGAAAGCCTTGCGTACAACCACAACCGCCATATCCACCGCGGAGATCGGGATAGGCCTCGACAACTATCTGAACTCGTGTGGTTTGTGCTGTTTTTGAAAGCTGTTGGGATCAAACACTGCTCTGACAAGCCATGAAGATTCGGTTGTTGTCCTCTCAAGGATCTTTACCTCTCCAAAGAGTAGTCCCAGTGGGTTCACATGTTCTTCTCAGAGAGTGGAGTCGAGTGCCCTACCCTAATCTCTTCAAAGTGCTAGCCTTACACCAACCAAAATCCATTGTCTGAAGACAAGACATGGAAGACGTCCCTCCCCCTTCACCCGGCCGGGTTTCAAACGAACGCCAAACGCCGGTCTCGAAGCCCAGGTCCAAACATGCTTCGCAGCCAAAAGCCTTAAAAGTTCACCTGGACTGTTCGAACTTCGAACTTCATGAGTGATATATGGGTGTGTGTTGAAATAGGGAGACCTGTCTGGTCTCAGAACACCCCCCAAAAAGCTGGGAAATAGACCAGTCTACCTGTTGGGGGGTGCCCTAAATTTTAAATATGTTTATACACACCCATCTGCCATCTGCAGTGAAGTTCCCAAAACCGACTTCTGACTGCTGGGGTGTAGACTTTGGACCAACAATTCCTGAAGCAGGGGAACACACTCACCAACGTTCACCACTATATAATATCGGTTCCCCTCCAACCATGTCCCTATGTCCACTGGTCCAACCTTCCTCCTTTCAAACAAGCCCTCTTCCAACGAAGCCAGGGCGGCCCTCGGCCGGCCGCCTGTGCGTAGGGAGCGTAGCCCATCAGCGCTTGACGTTGGGAACTGACGCCGGAGCCATTAGGCTGGGAACCTGGAACCTGCTAGCAAGGAACGTCAGGAACCGTAAATTGGTTGATTGGTCCTTTTTTTGGAGCTACTCATTTTCCTGTAGTTTTTGTGTTTCGATCACCAGGTATATATTTTATTGGGTAAAACAATGTATATAGTGTGTGGATAGATAAACCAACAAGTCGAAGACACACCAATGTGTCAATGCCTCTGCAAAGGTTCTATCAACAAACATCCTGTGATATCCTGTGGCAACAAAGGGCAACAAAGCCATTCACCACCTCATGAATACTCAGTTGTTTACATGCATTCTCTCCTTGGTCTACCCAAAGCTGTGTTCATTGTGTTCATCAACAGGCATCGTCCTGGCATCTCACTACTGAATTCTCGCCGGCGTCTTTGGCCGCAGGTTGCACTTTTGAGCATCCAAGAAGTAGTTGAGCAGGTCGAAAGACTCACAAAAGTGCCCTTCTCAAACCAGTTGACCAGAGTCCTCTCTTTCAGGCCTGGCTACAACATATTGGTGAAAAGAACAAGATATTGGGTTGGCATTCACTCAGTCCCCTCAAGCTGAGCGCAAGAAAAACGGCCGGGTATGCCTTCAGCACTAGTTTTGAACCGAATGGTCCATGCACCAACGAGGGTTTCCCTGCGGTTCCCACGGTTGGTTTTAGGTGATGAGTCTTGACGCAGCACCGTGTATGGACTCCAAGCAATCCACTTTAACACTCACACTGATCACTTTTTCTTTTCGCAGCCGGGCTGCTGGGGTAGTCTCTCTTGGACATCTTGAAGAAGGAGGCAGGAGCCGAATGGGACAAGACTTCTTGCAAGAGTGAGGATGAATCGCTGGCACTTGTGCCTCTATGTAGTCACAGAAACTCTAAATTGACTTGACCATGGAGCTCCAACAAATGAGTTTTCAATGCTCTGACAAGCGATGCCTTGCCCTTTAACTTCTGTGTGGTTTGTTTCAAGCGCGTACTGCAAGCTGTGTCTAAAATCCACTGGGATGGCTCTAGTTTCGGTCTTCACATCCAAAGAACTATGCCACTTGCTCTACAAAGCTTGAAGGCTTTGAAAGGAGACTCATACCTGTCAGGCTAGTCCAATAAGTAATCCTCAAATCCCTGGAAACAACAACATCCTCGGGCCCCATTGAACATGCTTTTGGACATGCTTCCTGTATATCAGGACAACTAGACTTCCAAACCGTTCCATACCATCAAGCCACTCTTGGATCAAAACAGGTCTCTGCAGTCCAGTCCCAGTGGCTCTGCATGTGCTCCTCTTGCTCCGTCTGATGCATCTTCACGCTCCGCGGCGTAAAGACTGGACTCTGCGACCTTCACAAACCCAAGGGGTTGTCAGGCACTTCCCTTGCCGCCTCATCCGCCCGCTTGCGCAAATACTTGCTCACCTGCATCAGCCCGAGTTGCAGGATATCCCTGAAAACAAGAACGAGTTCGAGCGGCTTGTAACAAGCATCAAGTGGAATCCAACAACCAAAGTACTTGGTCACACGTGTAATTACGCAATCATACGCAACCCTGCTGAAGATGTTGGGTAAAAGCTGAACCGCTGTTCAGCATGTTCTTCAGTTGCAGCAGGGACACACTCCAAAAAACATTTCAGGTTGCTGTCCAACATCAACTAAACAAGTAAAACCAGGGTGGCTGTATGTTTGGAAACTGGCTGACATTGAGAAGCATTGGAAAAACCATAGTCCCATAGTGTATCCTTCATCTCTACCATCATAAGTGATCTGAACCCGTCAAAATTGAAACAGGAGGGCTTTCCCGAAGCTTCAGTTATATATATATATATGTAGAATTGTAGTTTAAGTGATTTTTTGAACTGGTGGCAACCATGTCATTGACCTCCCTTGCTGTAGCCCATGCTAGTCATTTTCGGGGTCAACCAACGCCCCAAGCTCACGAACTAACACAGGAACCCGTGAAAACCTAAGGTCCTCAACATGCTTTGAACTGACTTCACAATTATGCGGGTCAATTCCGCAAACGGGCCAAAGGATAAACATAGCAAAGGAACAAAAAGACCAGCTATTCACCACAAAAGATACACAATAACGCGCAGGGTCAACAAAAACTGTATGTCTTTTGAGATGCTTTGATAACGGTAGGATAAACATGTACAAAACAACTGGTTGCATGGTGGCCAATCTGACGGTTTTATTGTTCGTCTCGCTCTTTGTCTAAGACTGGTACTTGCCTTGGCGCGGAGATCGGCGAAAACCACCAAAGCCAACAATCGGGTGCCTGGTGCAGCGGAGGCCATGATCGCGAAAAAGGATGGGTGTGACTGCATGATGGCAGTCGTGACTTCATGACTGGGTCACATCGGATTTTAGTCCAACTATAGGATGATGAAGAACCCTAGACTGTAGGATGATGTTATATATTTGATGTAGTGAAGGACAATGCAAGGGTTTATGCACTAGCCTAGATAGCCTCTGCCGTGGCTGGGACCGTGACCCTCGCGAACTCGCGGCGACTGGTCGTTCCACTACCCGGTGCTCGATGTGACTCGATGATGGGAGACTTGCCACCCAGAAAAATCACTGGAGGACAGCTGGTTCATGGATGTTCATCATGGATGTTCATCATGGATGTTCATGGATGTTCGTATGTGAATGCGTGCTGGTTCCTGATGACGAACCGTTTGGGGTCTATTATATAAATCAAACGATGGGAAAAAAACCGATCAAGTGCTACCTGTGTAACCTATGAGTGCTTGAGAGTATGCATCAATGAGATGATGCACTTCTCCTAATGCTACTAGTAGTAATGCTACTAGTATTAGCTTCTTGTAGTAATGCACTTGTGACTAGTAGCGATGCACTTGTTGCTAGTAGCTTGTTGCTACTAAATCCAAACCTCGGAAGACCGGAGGTTCCCTCGCAGCACTGGTGCGTTTGTGGGACCTTTCACCAGTGGTGCGCCAACCTGGGCCACTACTCCTCACCTGTCCCGGGCGCTTCGGTTCTGGGCAATTCCTTCGCTGGAAAGACCACTTCACTACTCCTCTATACCCATGACCCTGCACCTAGTGGAGACATATATTGATTTATGCTGAATCAATGCCAGGTCATCCCAAGCATAAAAAGCTTTTCTCTCATGGGGGGGATGGATCCAAACAATGGAATCATTGGACTGGTGGCCAGCCCTGCCCATTCCTTTTACCTCTCCCTAATCAACAAATCTCAAAAACACCCAAAGAGATATAAGCAAATCTGGACGTAAAGCAGTGCTTTCACGTGAGTAAACATAAAACACATACCGTATACCACAAAAATACAACTCAACACGCACACACACAACAAACCAATCCAAACTTGCTTTTTCATTTGTTGTGCGATAGCCTCTAGCCTCTCAGACTTCGGTCCCAGCATGTCCCTGCCATCTCAGAGGTCTCACGTCTCAGAGGTCTGCCGTGGCCCTGCATGGCCCTGCCGTCTCGTTCGTGGGACCTGTTGGACCTCTCCCAGACCTGGCCGACCAGCGTGCCTCGCTCATTGGGATGGATGCCATCGTCTGAGAAGTAGCCGCGGCGCTGCAGCGAAGCGCCTGTCACGTGCAGGCGCTTCGAACCACTCGAAGACTGCGGAACCAGTCGGGCACCAACAGGCCGATGCTTCAGTTCTTTTGGGTGTGGGGCAATAATTCTCAGTTGCGTCGAACGGGAGAGATTTGAACTTCTGCAGATTTCCGCGTCTTTCCTTTACAAACCCTTACAAGTCCAAGGGCCAAGTTAGACCTGGTCCTTGATCTCATTGAGTACTGGTCTTGCATGACCGGATCCAGTCAGATGAGGTCCTTGACCTATAGGGGAGGCTGAACCTGTCTTCGCATGCCCTTTCGATAAATCACATAGAAACTGCAAACGAACCGACGATCCCTGGGAATTAAGATGAAATCATGTTCCCTACCCTTATGGGTCGTTTGGGTCGTTTCCATGAAATTATGGGTTTGTGACTTTCAGGCAAACACTCTAGTGCTCTGCTGTCTTTCCGGCTTTCTGGTCGCCAGTTCAACACTGTGGATCACACTCCCACGTGCCTCCTAAGGCACTGAAGGTATCCACGACGGAAGCCTTGGCCTGGAACCATATGGTGGCAACACTGTTTGCACTCTTGATAAAGGTGCTGCAGTTAAAGGGGTACTCTAAAGTAGACTGTTTGGTGGGAGGAAGCGTTTTCTTCTCCCTCGGAAGCAATTTCTTCTCCCTCGATCACACTTATCCTGATTGTTGGGGGCAGTATAATACTGTTAGGATCTGTTGGGTGACAACAACCGGCAACTCCGGCATTGGGACCGATGCCCCAGCTCACCCCAAACAGCTTCTCGCCAGGTATGTGGATGAGTTCTTACTGCCTTCTACTTTATAAGACTTTATAAGCTCCTAGGTGTGCTAGGTGGTGCAGGATTCTCATCAACTGTTCCAAGTGGAAAGGGTGTTCCTACCTTGCTGCTGGTCTTATGAAAGAAGCAAGCGACAAAACATTGAGCTTCTAACGTCGATGAAGAACTACGTCCATCGACAAAGAAATCGTGCGCGCCGCCCACATCTGACCTTTAGTAAGTGAAAGTCCTGTACCTCCACAATACTTGTGCGCTCTTGACACACTCATATGTCATAGCAAGCAATACAACAAAAACACCACCATCCAAGGATGATGTTCCAGTTAGACAACAAATATCTGGCGAACTATGTTCGACTGCTGTGCCTCAGCAAAATCGTTTTCACACAAAGCCCATTCAATGGTCCACATGAGTCTTTTCACACTCTGCAAATTGGCATGAAGAAATCTTCTTCCATGGGCGCCAATGTTCATGAAACCTCTTTTTGGTGACCAGCCAAAACACAATGATGGTGAGGGTAGCAAGGTAGAGCCCCTTCTTCCCAAGCCCCTGCGACCAATGCGCGACCGGCCGTGCCGACTCCAAGCGGCCAGAAACTCTGCTGGCACGCTACTGCGGCTGCGCTTGGCCTGGAACCGTTGGAACTCGGCCAAGAGTCGGGAGCTCCCGTTCGCTCAGCCCCAAACAGCTGTTCAGGGTCGGTATACGGCACACCGACCCTGAGCAACCGTCAGTACTAAGTGAAGGACATGGGATCACCCTTCTCAACCAGCTGTCATTCAAAGCACCCTCAGCCACAAAGATTTGTATGCGATGTGGGCCCGGCTGTTCCTTAAGGTTCTCTCCTTTCTGAAGATCAGGTGCTCTTCTGGAGATGCTGCCCAAAAACATCCAATATTGAGTTTGAGGTATTCCGAAAGGGACCTCCGTGTGTATGTTGCAAAGCATGGTCACTAGGTATCAAAACTCTGAGTTGGGATCAAGAAACTGCTGTACATATGGGAATCCGGACCCGCAGCCATTTCGATGCAATGCTTAAGTCACAAGCTTCTCCGATGAGCCCTCCTGACTTGCCCTCCGGCTGAGTCTTCGGGGACCCATGTGCGAGAAACAGGGAGTGAGGACTTCACTGTGCTTCACACACCTCAAATGAGAATTTGTAGAGATTCCTGTTTGATTAACCTTGCGTCACTTGGTGTCACTTAGGTGTCACTTGCATTCACTGTTTCCCGCCTGTTCTTCCAGCGGGGCATTGATGACACCTGCCAGGTCAATGGCTTCAGGAACAAACTTAACAATAAGACAGTTTAGTGTCTAAAGCGCGTGAATATGTGCAGTCTATCAACTTACATCAATTAATTAACAAGACATGCCCATGGACTGCGGTATTCTTCTTTGAGGCGACTGCTTACTTTAATGGACTCTTCAATAACTGAATTCTGAAAAAATACATAGACTTGCGATATCCTGTTCCTTCCTAAACACTTGGCAACACAACCCGCAAATCATTCAAACACGAGTGCCTCGAGCTTTCTCGGCGATGACTGGCACCAGGGAAGGCAGTTTCGAGTTGACCACCTCCTGGCGGCATCGCCCGTGGATAAAGCCGCGTTCCGGTCCAGGTGGCGTAGCGGACCCAAATGAATTCGTTAAAGAACCACTGCAACACTTCTGATTTACCTTCAATTCCACTCCCAAAATGTGTCCCGACGAGGACAGTGGTTGTAGAGCTGGGACAGTAGATGACCAGATGCCTTCTCCGCTCTCTTTCTGGCTGAAAGTAACACATTGAATATATAGCTGACCAACTAAACAAGTAGGTGGCAGTCAAAACGCACACACTTCAACAAACCCTCAAACATGACTTGTGGTAGTCATCCTTTCGCGAGACAAACCTTTTACACCGCTTCGACCCCCATCTGTGGCTGTTGGCATGTGGGGGATTCGCAGCATTCAAAAGCCACTTGACATCTCGACCCCATCAAGGACGCTACTAGGGGCTCCTGGCCTTACTACTAGGAGCAAGGGCTCCTGGCATCGCTACTAGGACCTAGGAGCATTCTTACTACTAGTAGCAAGAAGCTAAATTAAGACTTGAATCCATCTCATCCCATCTCCCCGGTTGACCCCACACGCCCGTTCACCACACGCCGACGCCGCCCACACCGTGTCGACCAGGTCATCGGAGTAGGCGGGCGGCGGGGTGGCCAACAACAGCTCCGGCCGGGGCTCTTGACCTCGCGGCGAAGCGGCGGAAGCTTCACCGACACGAACCCCAGGAAGATCAATGGGTTGCTTTTTTGTTTTTTTCGGGTGGCCAATTTGATCTTCCAATGACCACCCAGTGGGCATATGTTCTTTTTCGCACATTTATGATGCCTTACTTACTTTCGGTCTGATTTGATTTCGGAATCCAAGGGCATTGCTGGAATCTCGAGCTTGGCTTCAGCAGGGAGGCATGCGGGTGCATGCGAGCGGGGATGTGCTAGAAATAGAAATCAGAATGAGTAACAGGATACGGGAGATCTCAATTTGTTGCGGAGAACAACCAAACCCTTGATCCTAAAGAAACCATTTCCACCCAATAGATGCGGTTCTGGAGTTCTAGCTAGCTCTGTGGAGGTCCAACTTGGAAGTCTGCCGGAGTTTCTCAAGAGCTTGTGCATTCATGATCATTAATTCACAACAATCTGGTCTGGAAATATCGAGATCAAAGTGTTTCCAGAGTCATCGAGAGATGGGGTATCCCGACGCGGGGACTTCCCCCCCCCAGCCTACCGGAGCGGAGGAGACCGAGTGTTTTTGGTGCGCTGGGTGACGAAACTTCTACGGCCATACAGCAAAGCCAGGCGTGTTCCAAGTATTTTCGACCTGGCTGTCGTTCTTTCTAAGCACCCACAAACACATTACATTACATCTTCATCACGTCGCATCTCTCCTGAGCCTCACACGCTCCAAGAAGTGCACACAAAGGTCCCGATAGTCCTGGAGAAGATCACACTAGTTCCCACAACTGGTTTGGTCTTGAGGAGGAATTCCTTTCACGAACATCAACAAAAAGCGGCATCGTAAGTAGATACTAGATACTATATCTTAGCTTGGAATGTAAAAGTTGGTACAGATTCATTTTGCACATGGCTACACCTTTACACAGTGTCGTGCACACTCCACATCCACAAGCAAGCTAAATCAAGCTACCTCCTGGATGAGTAATCGTGTCTGCGGTCTCTGTCGACATGCTGTGGGTTGACCACACAATATTGGTATCTCATGAATTCGGCTCTCATGTCCGTCGTCATTTGGCAGGAGCTATGAGGTCTATGTGTTCTCCCAATTAAAGGTGGGTCAAGGTTATTTGCTGCGAACCTTAATTACTGCGTGGTGATGGTTGCTTTCGTTGCTTTTGGGCTTCGACTGGTTAGGTCGCAACGCAATATAAATGCAATGAGGTTGATACAAGCATTATCCATCCCTTGACTTGCCCCTTTATCAAGTCAGAACACACATGAGTACACGCGAGAAACAGCAAATGAAACGTCAAATGTACATGATCAAATCACCAGTCTCTATGTTGCAAATATAAAAAAAAATGAAGTGTCTTTTAACAAGACAATGTTTAAAACATCAAACTTCGAAACTTAACGAACGCATGAAGATCGCTTCGGTTGTTTCTTCGGTCGCCGCATGAGATCTCATCCAACAGCTTGATCTCTGCACTGTACGTTTTGGTGGTGTGACGCTTAAAGACTGTGGATGCTAAAAAACGTCCGGAGACGACTGATAAACATGTAGAACATTCGCGTATTTAAACTGTGATATAAGAGTAATAAAGTGATAAATTACAAATAAGCCACAGTCGAATCAAAGCAACAAATATCATTGCCGCAAATGGCAATGGGACAAAATTGTGTGTGTCTAATGATATAACAAATATAACATGTATTATATAACTATAATATCAACCAAATAAGGAGCGATATATAGCGATATTATAGCGTTGTACGAACAAACATACTGAGAACAGTTTAGTGGAGACCTCCTATCCCACCATTGCATCGAAGCCAAAACAAATTATGTTGCAGCTTTGTCAAATTGTGGATTCTCTTTGAGCAAAAGCTCATCTATAAAGCATATCATTCACTATCAAGGAAACATATATAAATACTGCACTATATATATAGCTATAGGTTTCCAAGAGGCACAAAAGAAAGATCTGTTCTGGGTGCTTCCAGTTTTCAAGCCACAGTCCAAGCGGGAAGTTCTGCCCACCCCCAGTCGTTGACTCACCAGGAAGTCCAGGTGAACTCCCAGTCGTCGACGTTTGGTTTGGAACGTCGATCGATGGGAAGTCTCCAGGTTGGCGATGTCTGTTTTTCGCAACACAAACTGCAGGATTCGAAGAACTGTCGAAGTGGGGAATTCACAATCAAAGAGGGGAGCGTTGTTGACCAGTCCAGAATCTTTGGGCTTTAGGAGAGAAGATTCTCCTGGGACTTAAACTTCTTCCGCAGAACAATGCATGTTGAGCCTTTGCTGCGATTTGCCGACAAACCAACCAACCGACCAACCAATGATACAATTGAACATGATTGCTAATTAGACGTCAGACTTTGCCGCCAACCCAAGACTGTTTGTCCCACCCCGAAACAGCTGCACAGGGAGTCAACTAAAGCTCATCACGAGCATTTAGGACTCAAAGCTCTATCCCAGATTAGGTCAGCGGTTGGCGCCGGGAACAACATCGATCCCTTCAAACGCTGGCCGATCTGTGGAAGCTGATCTGATCCATGGTGAATGGATACCTGGTTGTGTACCAAATGAACCTCTTGGACTCGTGGATTCGTTTGGTAAATGGATATCCTTTCAAGCACACATTAAGACGTCTACATAATGTTAAGCAAAGAAAGAGACTACCCGACCTTGTTGACAAGAAAGGAATACCAAAATAGCGAAGAATAAAGCAAGTTACCTCTGGGGCTGCCAAAGGCTACCAGACTCCTTGTGGAGTAGCCACATGTAAACAAACACTTAAAACGGACCCTATCAGGATTCTTTTACAACCAAACACTATCAAGGTGAACAGGAACATATTTGTAATAGTTCAAACAACCCCTGGGCCCTCTGCCAGCATTAAACCTTGATTCGGTGTGTGTTGCCAATGTTCCCACAAGCAATTGCAGCTGGTCGAATTGAATAGGAAACACACACGAGCATGATCCAGGGATGGCCGACAAATGCCTCACCTCATAGTACATTTTTAGCTATATAATTGACTATGGTGTGTGACTGTCTATATATACTGTATCGTGTATCTGTATATAGTGTGCAAAACCATAAACTGTATACATCATGTAATGCCTTCTTGTCAATGACTACAGGCTGTCAACACCAGGGCAATCTTCAAAAATACCCAGTGCAGGGGCCACAACATAGTCTTGATCCAAAACAATCGATCACAAAAAACCTTGTGCAGGGTTTCGTTGGTGGGATCGGTCCCCAGCGAAGGAAACAAACATGAAGACAGATTCCCCGGGCAGAACGAGTGTACAACACCTCACCACTTTAAGTCTATATAGTGTCAGTGAATCAAATGGTCGAACTGAGAGAGCCTTATCGAACTGAGGTCACCCTGTTTCAGGAGAAGCGCTGGCGCGCGACGCCAACCACGGCACTAGACTTTGGGGATCGTCCGTCACTTCTTCTTCGACTTCTTTTTCAACCTGTGCTGGTCGCTGGGGGTCGCAGGGCGTCACAAGGCTCGGTTGGTTCAAATCCCTTGACTCCCTTGACCTTTCTCATGATGACTCAGCTCGGTATCTACCAATTTTCATGGAACATTCCATGACCTGATAGACAGTTGCTATGCAGTTGCTGGTGAAAGTGCATCCACCTGATGATCTGCTGGAGCACTTGATTGATGGCTCTTGGTTGACAACGCTAAGGCCTTCAGCTGCTTTAACTCGGTGGGGGAGGCAGGCTATGCGACAAAGGCACGTGTAAACAGGTTTCAAATCAAATCCTCGTTGCTTCATGCAACATTACTTACTCCTCCAGTCCATAGCACCCTCCAACACTGTCAGCCCTGCAAAAAAATGGTATATAGTTGAAACTCCCCACACACCGACGGCTGCAGAGACCATCTGGGTGCCCCTGGCTCTTCGACCTTGGCCTCATCGTACTCGGCCTTCGAGAGCTTTGGGACATAAGAAGACGTGTATCAATAAAAAGTCAATACTTAAAAGGTCAATAAACGGTCAAGACGTGTATCAATAAAGACGTCATAAGAAAACATAATAAGGTCAATACTTGTTCAATAAAACTTGGCCCGTTGTTTCTAAAACGCTGAGGCCCGTCTAACGAGAGACCACGACCAGAAGGCCCGTCTATTGGTCTGTTGAACAAATCCACACCCAGAAGTGCCAAGGAGGCCATGGCACAACCCCTGTTCCAATCAAGACTTGCATAATCTTCTGGGTGATTTAGCCCCACTGAAAATAAACATGGACGCTGACAACCAGGGGTTTGTAATGGAAAACAGTCTTTCAGGCTCCATTCTCAGAGTCCATCTTAGTTTTTACTATATATATATATATACAGTATATTACTGGTTCATCTCCATCGCGGGTGATTTCAACACAACTTGGCCCCCCCTAGCACCTGTCCATGTTTCCTCAAACTCCTTGGGGCTCTGGTACAAGACATCTTTGTCTACATATTATGGTCAAAATGCCACCACCAGATTGGCAGAATGACCCGGATTTTTCCATGGATCCCATCAGTTACTTAAGATTACTTCAGTCATCTTGAGTCCATCGTAAGTTGAGTCCATCACCCCCCGCTTCGTCTCCATGTCCACGTCCGTCAGACCATACGGTGTCGGGCCTGCTTTGACTGGGCCATCTGGTTCATGATGGACACCTCACGGGAACTACTGGACCCCAAATTGGAGTGGCTGGGGGCACTGGCTTTGGCGGCTTCTGTTCCGAAAAAGAGGGGAGTCCTGCCCAGCCGACGTACCACGTCGAAGCTTCATGGTCAGTTTCACAAGTAGGATGGACCAATGGCCGGCCAGCCCGGTAGGCTACGTAGCATTGCTAGTCCAGTGCAACTGCTTGCTACCGCTCAAATGCTAAGTATGCCGAGCTCCGGTAGCTTCCATATTGACCCAACATAGTGACAAACATTCAGCGCATTAGAGGCGGATCAAACCCCTCCAGCGAGCTGCGGTGAACGTGCCGGGCACTGACTGCCACCGGGTCTTCGCTCACTGCGTTCCAGCTGTTGCCCTGACTGTCGCTGGGCCCCTGGCAACAAAGTACAAAACCAGACCTGCAATAAAGAGCTCCCAGCACACCTGGGCTATGCTTATGCTGTGGAAAACCAATCGTCTTTACTGGAGGCTCGTGAGGTCCAGGGCTCGTGCAAGAACCTCATGACATGATATGACCCTCAAATCTTCTTCTCAATGGACAAATGTGGCTCCAGCAGGCAGGAGCTCAAACATTGAAAGCTTGTTGGTTTCTCCATCCTAGAATCCTCGTCTTGAACTTGGAATGCTGGCCATGGAAGCAAAAAACTGAGAATTCTCGTTGTTTCTAAGGTGTGACCCCCAAAAATCCCTGGATCAAGCTCACCTTCAGTAAACCCACGTCAAAAACTAAAGCGTGGTATCAAATCACTTGGTTTGACTGTCTATGAACTTTGCAGCATAAATTTGCATAAATGACATATATTGCACTTAGTGACTTGTGTTGACTGAACATCACAATGACGATCTTTGAATTGAGAACCTGGAACAGGACACAACCAGGTGCGTAGCTTCATCAAGTCCGGCAAAATGTCAGGATAGGAGATGAAAGGAGATTGTTTTGCTTTTTACACGATCTCTTGAATCTCTTGACCTTGGGCAACTGTGTTTGCGATCGCAGGTCTGTAGGGAAGTCACTGCAATTTAAAGGCCACCTCGCCAAGTGGCTTTGAGGAAA